CAACCACCAACCAACCAACCAACCAACCACCAACCAACCAACCAACAAGCAACCAACCACTGCAGAGGCATCCTAGCCCAGAGGCACACTTACCTCGTAGAAGAAGTGGAGCCCTTGGCTGAAAGAGACAAAAAACAAAAAACAAAAAACAAAAACCAGTTATTTAACCTAGAAACACTGTTCTTACGTAACTCTTTTGGTGTGGGGGGGGGACAAAGGTTTGCCTCCAGGGAGGTTTGAGGAATTGTTGAAATCGCCTCCTTTGAACCACAGGAATTCCCCCATGCTCACTCCAGTGGGGTGCTCCATCATATTCTGTCAGGAGGGCCAGTGGGCTGGGCCTTCCCCACTTCTGGGGGTTACCAAGGTCAGATCTCAAAGCAGCCTTCAGCCCAGGAGGGGCCAACTGCCCTGCTCTGTCTGGGCCTCAGTTCCACTCACGATACACCTTACCTGAGACCCTACAGGAGCCCTACAGGCCCTTCACTGCTGGAGAACAGACTCTAGTCGGGGGGGGGGGATGGGGAGCCAGTGTGCATCCCATGTCTCCCCCCACCGACCCCAGCTCACTCACTGTGTGACCCTGGTGGGTCACTTCCCCTCTGTGAGCTTGGATTTCAGCTCTCCAGCTCACAGGGTTGGGCTGGACATCCATTTATTTTCATGTCACCACTTTCCAAAAAAGGATCTTAGGAGGGAAGAAAGGGTCCATCTGGTTCAGAGATTTTAAGCCTATGATATGGGGCATCCCACAGAGAAGCTGCTGGGGTTTGGCCACTATTGGACTCCCATGCCACTGTAAAATTGTAATTAAAAAGCAACCTGCACACCAAACGTGCTCTGCACCGCGCTTTGACAGGCTGGAGGCTGCCACAAGGCGAGAATTCTCCCTGCTGGGTGAATGCCTGGTGCCTGGACAGGCGGTGGAGTTTTAGGTGAGCGGGTACCAGCTGGGAAGGCTGCAGCCCGGCATCCAATGTCCAAATGGACGCCGATGGGTTGCAAAGTGCCGGGACGTGGGTCGTCTCAGGGACTCCAATGACAGGATACTGACCACTCACTTTACACCAAAGAGACTCGGTGTCTCCCTGGAGCCACACAGCTGGTAAGCAGGAGGGCTGAAATCAGGACATTTCATCGCGAGTGTTGGGAGGATGGGCAGACTCCTCCAGGGGCCAATGAGGGGAAAGGTCATCTCACCGGGGAGGAGACGATGTGTAGAGTGATCCCAAACATGGTCCCTGGGGGACCTGCTGACCAGGTTTGAATCCTGGCCCCGCCACTGACCAGTTGTGAGGCCCTGGGCAAGTTTTAGAACATCTCCATGCCTCAGTTTCCTCATCGGTAAAAGTGGGTTAGTAACACCACTACAGAAGTCTGTGGTGAGAACAATGCCTGGCACATGAGGAGAACTGAGGGAGTGCTACTTGTCACTGTCACCAAGCCTCCGTGTGACAGCTGGGCTCTGCACCCAAAGAGACCCGTCACCCAGGGGCTGGGATTTCGCTAACGGCCACCGCGAATGCTATCCGACCCTCACTGGGCAGCGGACTCTGCTTCGCCACCCTTCCCGTGCGAAGGCTCTCCTTGGACGTTAGGGAAAAACCACCGGGTGGATCACCTGGCAGAAGCCCTTCCAGATTCCAGAGAGGTGGGGCCTGATGCCAGCCTCCCAGATGGGGAGCTAAGGCTCGGCCAGGACTCACAGCCAAATGCTTTCAGCCAGTCCAGGAAGGAGGGAAACCTGGGGGCCGGAGGGGAGGGGGTGCAGAGGAGAGGTGTGAACAGCACACCCATCTGAGCCCAGCCTAGGGGTCTGGGTGCAGAGAGGCAGCTCGGGACAGCACTTTGCACGTCACAGTCCGTGGCATATGGTGGGTCACAAGCAGCATGTTAAAGAGAATTTAGTATAGACTAGGACAGAAAAGCAAATATCAGAGTTCCAATTTTATCTATAGGAGTGTGGTACGTACGTGCTGGGTTGAGGCATGAAGTGTATTTCTATAACTTGAAGTCAAGTTAAGTTGCAGAAACGCTGGCTTAAAATGGTCTCCTCCAAGGGAGGCACTGCTCTACCCATTTTATGGATGAGGAAACCGAGGCTCACGGAAGCCAAACTGATCGTTTAGAGCATGTAACAAAGGTCTGGAGCCCTGGTTTGTCTGACTCCAAAGTCAGAGGCCTTGTCACAGCAGTAACTACATGCACTCAAACAAGGGCATGATGTCCTAGATTTGAACTGGTGCCCTCCTGCTGGGGAGCCAGAGGCTGTGTGCCTTGCTGCCGTGAGGACAGCTTTCCAGGAAGGTGGCTCATGTTTCTGGGCTCATGTACAATTCTGACAACATTTACTGAGCACCTGCTGTGTGCCAGGCACTATCCTCACATTTCACGTGACATCACCCATTTAATCTTTCCAATGGTCTTAGGGAAGGTGCTGGTATGATCCCACTCCCTCCAGCCTCCTGCCTACGGGCTGGATGTGTCAACCTGGACAGGTAAGAGGAAAGCAGGAGTTTGCCGGGGTTACCGGCAAATACTGTTTCCTCGGGAGGCCCTCTTCACACCCTGGCATCTCCCTGCTCTTCACCTTGGTGGTGGTCCCGTGAGGAGGTGAGGCTTGGAGCAGTGACGGCTATCTTGCGCCCATGAGGCGAGGCTGAGGGAGGACCCCCCCCCCCCATCCCAGCCTGGTGATGGTGCTGCACCAGCCATGGCACCAGCGACTGCTGGGCTCTTTGTGGAAGAGACTGGACTTCCTCACGGCCTCGCCCTCTGGGAAGGACAGCCTCGGGGCGCAAACTCTTGGGGAGGAAGAGGAAAATCCACGCACCTTTCTTCTGTCGGATTCGGAGGAGGTAGAGGGCTGCGATCGCGAGAGTCACCAGCAGGGCACAAACCACGCCCACCACAATGAAGATGGTCTGGCTTTCATTTTTGTCTAGGGACCACACGGAACAGAGGCTTCATGTATGCAACTTAGAAACAGCGAAGCTTAATACCCACCACCCCTTTTCACCGAGAGGTAGGCATCGTGAACTGAGACCATCTGGCTGTACGTGTTGGGGGCCATGGGGGCACGTTCAGGGGTAGGCACACCCTTCCCGGCGGGGGCCACCGTGGGCAGTGCTAACACCACGCTGATGTGCCAGGAGGGAAGATGTTTGTTGCTGACTGCTATGGAGGAACCCTGGCTTCGGGACGTGGGCAGAAATCTCACTCCCAAGGAACAGAAACATGTTCCCTTTCATCTGGAACGAGCCACAGGGTGGCCACCACGGCAGTGGTGAAACTCCGAATCACGACTACTCTACAGAGCTCTCAGGAGCAGTCGACTCATCTGTGCCCGGGACCTGGGCATAGGAGCTCTGAACCCGGGACACCTGTAAGGGAGACTGTGTGGGCGGGGCTGGTGCCAGGGCACAGGTAAGGGATCCTGCACTAGGGCATTGTGGGTAGTCAGGAGCAGGGCTCTGAGCCATGGACACATGGGTGCAAACAGTGCCCCTGGTTGTGTGTCCCAGAGTGAGTCATTCAAACCTCCCTCTACACACTGACTTCCTCTTGTGTTATTGAGGCCAATAGTAACCTCGACCTCATTGGATAGCTCTGAGGATTAACTTACTAAATGAACAATCAACCAACAAACGCACTCTTTCATTTGTTTTAAAAGCATTTCCTGTCTACTCTGTGCCTGGGTGTGTGCGGGTCCTAAAGCTATGAGGCCGAACAAGACAGCCACGGTCCCTAGCAGCTGAGTCTCAAAGCTGAAGGCTCAAGTGCCTCCTCTTGCATACTGCCATAAAGCAAGCAAGGAGGCCCAGAGAGAGGCACTGACTTGTCTGAGGCCACCCAGCACGTTTGCGACAGAGCCAGAGTCGAAATCCACGCGTCCCAGCTCCCAGTATAGTGCTCATCCTATGGAAGCCAGGCATCAGCGACATCAACGGGACACCCTGGAGGGCCCCACGCCTCCTAAAGCTTCCCTGTTTCCTTACAGGATGCAGCGAGGAAAGAAATGGTCTCTACTGTAACCCATTCGAAAGGTCGGCCACGTACAAGGCAGAGCCAGGCGAACGGGCAAGTGATGGAACATTCCACAGTGGCACCAGAACGCCAACTGGGTGCTGCTAATTTGACGACAGAAGAGAGATACCCCGACAACGCGTTGGGAGGGGCTGAGAAAATGAAACCCCGACACCTTTCGCTCCAACACGGGGGTGGCCGTCTTAGAGGGGCATATGCACTTTGGCCTAGAAATGCTTTTTGGGAAATCGTCCCCCAGAAACAGCTGCACACGTCACAGAGCAGGTGCAAGGTCATTCATTACAGTAGTGATTATACGTGAGATAAGCTGTAAAGATTCTGAGGCCCTCCACCCCATTCCTGGGGTGCAGGCTTGCGAAGACAGCCAGAGAGATCAAGGTGAAGTGCGAAAGAACAGGAGGAGGAGGTGGCTGGCCTGGCCTGGTGAATTAAGCTCTGGCAGGTGAAGGAGCAGGTGGCAGGAAGCTAGGGACAGTCCAGTCTCCCTCCCTCCCAACTCTCTTTAATGTATGTTTATGTCAAAAGATCTACAGAGACACGAACCAAACTCTTACCAGTGGTCACTCTTGGGAGTGTGGCCTATGGGGGAGGGGCACTCACTTTAAAATTTGACTGTATATCTATAGACTTCTAGATTATTCTATTATAGCCATGAATGACTGCTTTTCACATGAAAAAAGGAAAAATAGAATTTAAAGTGCCAGGTCTGTTGGCATCTTGACCTCACCCTGGGTCGTATGCGTTTCCTGGTCCTTCTGGTGGGCAGAGACCACAAGGGTATGGTTTTTGGTGACCGCGGGCTGCCCGTCATGCTGCACCTGGCAGGTGAAAACCACATCTTCCCTGTGGGCGGATAAATTCACCAGGAGCCAGCTCGTCCAGTTAAAGGTCCCATCCTTGTTCTCT